AAAAAAAGGTGAGGGAACTTACAGCTCCCATCAAGGAAGTAGGGAGGAGCGTAATTGCAAGCAAAACCACCGAGTCTCCAAGAGAGCTGCGGTGTTCTCACCTTACAATGTAAAATGCTGGTCGTTACTTATTACACCGTAACTGTACCACGGCAACAGTGTATTTTTAATCTTCAAGCAAAAACAGTTCTCTGGTTTCAATCAGAAAGTTGGAACATGGTACTGTTCTTGTCAGGACTCGTAATGCCCAGTGGACTCTGTACCGTGGAAGTGGCATTTTAGGGCAGCGTGGGTGTCTGGAGAAGTTGATTTGTGGAAATCCTTTAGAAAGAAAAACTTAACCTAAAATATCCACCCTGGAGAAAGGGTATGGTGCAAGACTCCACGCAACTGCTCTGCCCACAAATTCATGCTTCTCTTCTCTAGAGAATCCAGGAACTGAATCCTCACTTGAAGTCACAAGTCCAGCCCCCAAATTGTCCTTTACATCCTTAAAAATACCGCACAACTCCCATACAGCTGTCACCTGAGATGTGGGAGACAAAAATCTTCAGTCCCCAATACAAACCAGACGTATAAATACGAGCCTTTAGTGCAGGTTATTTCTGGGTGAAGAGTATTTAGCGGAGGTAGAATGCTGTACCACCGAGACACACAAGAGCACATCAAAGCTACAAATCATCCTCCAGAGCAGTCAGGTGAATTCCCTGCAAGTTATCTGAGACCCTGAGGCAGCTTTTAGATGGTTTTGCACATAGTTACAACCTTCAGCACCCGCAGGACTATTGGGGTGAGGGGGCCGGGAATGTCACTGGATGGCATGAGGACTGTCGCAAGGCATCTGTCAACACCTAACTACCGATAAGGACCTACACCTTCAAAGAAGAGAAAATCTGGGGGTAACCTGCTAAACTTTTTGCTACTGCAGTTAAATTTTAAAAACAAAGCTATCCCCAAACCCTGTATCTGTAATTTCAGAAACTATAGAAAGCTGTTTAGACTTTCAATTTTTTTAAGAAATCACTTTAAGATACTTTTAAATTAGTATCAATTGCTACAGATGCCATCAATCTGCAATCACAAATATCCTCACTATTCCATGCCAATAGTACCCTCCTGATCCAGATTTTTTTATGACCCACTCAGCCTCAAGTACACCACGCGCTTTGATGAAGGGGGAAAAGTACTTTCAGGCAGAAAAATTTAAGGAAATGCTAAACCAGAAACCTACGTGGAATGAATTGGGCCATGGAAGGTTTGAAAAATAGTAAAACACGCAGAGTATGAGGAGCTAGTATAACATGAAATTTGACCTGTACTCCGGTCTAAAAGAAAACTGTTGTTAGAATTACAGTCGACTCTTCAGCGCTTTTTCCACTGCTGTAATGTAAACACTTTGTTGTATGTCTGGGCTGAGTTCGTTGAGGTATGGCAAAACCCACTGCCAAACTCATACATCACTTTTATTGCTCTGGTTACTTAGGTTGCTCATTATTTACTCTCACAAATGATTGAGGAAGAAGATGGCAGTAGAGAAGGGCACTCTAAAATCTTAAACAGGAGGAAACAATTATTAACCTGGGACCAGATCAGGAGGAAATAGAGAAGTTTAGACTGGTGCTACCTGGTTTGCAGGGACACAAGGACACTTGCTGGGCAGGGTCCCTTGCACAGGCTTGCCACCCCCTTCAAGTAGGAAAAGAGACATCAAGGATGGTTTGGGAGGATTTCTTGTTTCAGACCTGGACATTCAGAGATGTTTTTGTATCTCCTGGCTGTTCCTCCTGAAGTTTTCTTTGTGGGTCCAGCTTCTCTCTGCTCAACTTGCAAGTTCTGGCTTGCTCCTTTCTTGCAAGTAGATTCCCTTCTTTCCGCATCTCATGTCAACAGTCTCCTTCCCTAAGCTCTGCCGAGTCTCACTGCTCTTAGATCAGCCTTCACAGGGTTTTGCCCCACCTGACAGGCCTAGGACCCTCGTCCCATTACCTGCCAGAAAAACAAGCCCAATGCCTTGGGCATTCTTGAAAGGTACCACTTCTCCTCTTGCACAAGGCCAAAAAGCAGTCATGCATAATAAGCTACATTTAATAGATAGAATAGAAATTTATTATTATTATTGCATTTGCATAAACTAGAAAAATTATGACAAATACTCTAGGGTTTTCTCTATAATAGTATATATGCATTAATTATGGGTTTTTTTGTATCTATCTATTATCTATAAAACTTCATTTGCTCTTTGGAAGTTGCCTGAATAAGTTTATGTACATCATACACACATTTTGAATGTCCTTCACCAGAGCTAGAGACCAAATAACTGGCACACATAAGGTGGTATTGAATAAAAGGAAAACTAATTGCCACCTTCATAAATCCACACTTTAGCTCCTACAGGTGGCATTTTGCAAAGTACGTTAACTACTCGATACCCACACACTTCCGGACAGGGCATCTAAATGTGGATGTAAATCTAAAAGCTGGTGAGGGTGAACTCCACAGAAACAAGGCTAAGATCTTCGGGTTCCTTTGAATCATGCAGATGATTTTCTAAAAGTCAAATTTAAGGCATCAAATACAAATCATATGAAGAAAAAAAATTCCATAAATGGCAAACTATAAAATACTTATAATTTGTTCTCCAGGTCAGTAACTATAATTAGAAAAGAAGAAAGCAAGCTTCAGAAATTAGTTCAGGGGCTTGTGTTTTAGGCATCTAGAAGTCAGTGTGCTCCAAATTAATTTAGCTGCTTCTGACCATCCCACAAACAAATTTACATATCATTAAAAAATAAAGGGTATTTTTCCCCCTCAGAATCTTCGGCTCCTCAAGAAAATCTGTGCCACTGTAGAGTACCAATACATATTATAAGCAAGCAATCTTATTTCTTAAAAAAATAAAGTTCCTGAAGAACAACTAGATGTCTATGACTCACTTCTACTGCACTGGGAAACTGCCAAGAGATAGCAGCTGGGCAGGAGGCCAGTAGGGTCTTCTGATACTCATCTGGGCTTGTGTATAAACATGTTCTCATTATAGTTTCCATTGTCCGCCCCAGCCCATTCCTTGGGAGTATTTGTTGTACTCATTCTTGTCTTATTTACCTTTCCATAATGACTTTTCAGTGCAGAGGCTATCTTTTATCCTTGTACATTGTTTGCAAAAAGGAGCCCCATCCCTACTGGGTCCTTTAAGCAGTACTGTAATACAAATAACACACCAAAAAATAACATTTCTGCTTCTCAAATGTACGTCACCTAAGGCCAGACAAAAGAAAACTGTGTATATCCTCCTTTCCTCCTCGCTCCCTAAAGGAATGCATCCTTTCTCAGCTGTAAAGTGAGCCTGGCAATTACTGTATGTGCATGTCCGTGTTCCTGTTTGGAGCTCTATAATTGTTTTACAGCCCTGACTGTGATTATCCAGTACCCACCAGAAAATCCCAGTGCTTTGATCACAGGACTCCCTACCCAGACTCCGCAAATAATTCATCAGAGGAGGGGGGTTAAGCAGAAGGAAGATGAAGAGGAAACAAGAAACACAGCTGACATAAAGCTAAAAGGAAGGAAACAAAGATAAAAATGCAAAAAGAAAAAAATTTAAGCTAAAAAAGGGAGGAAACAGAGCCCACAGAAAAGAGAAATGAGGTGAGGCAGAGTTTAAGGAAATGTGTTTTCCTATCAGGACTAAACAGAGGTGAGTCTCTTAGGAAAATACGGTACTTTTTATTTGCTGCTGCTCTCTGTCTGTCAGCCTCTAAGGGTCGTTAATTTGTTCCCTGTCCGACTGTTCTAACATTAATGGTGTACAAGATATCCCTTAGACAGTCCTCATGCATTTGAGATGAAGGTAGTGAGATAGCAGAAGCAGGCAGAAACAGCCTGCTTATTTGGGCAATAAAAAGACAGAAGGCTGGCAGTCAAACAGAGAACAGACAGGATACAGCAAATTACAGGGTTCTCCTTCTAGCCTTTGCCATTAAGTGAATGTTTTCTGCAATGCATAGATGCCCTGTGGGCACAGTGACTTCTAACAATCACCATAGCTTGTTTGCTTCCTGAGCTAGGGATTTAGCTTTTATACTACACCCTTGATCTGGCACAGCTTCTACCACACTCAAGAAAAGTACTAATCTTGAATAACGTGGGCATATCTGCAAAGTCATACTTGCAAATAGTCTGAAAACATCTTTCCCTCTGCCCTGCCCCTGGAGATGGTGTTCAGTTTTTCCTGCAACTGAAGAGAATAACTGTTACACATTTAAGGCTAATCTCTGCAAAAAAAGACTTGTATGTCACTAACAAATGAGCACACTGCTTTCTTGCTCATGTTTTAAGTAAGTATTATCAGTATTAACTGATCTGTATGGGAATCCCAGTCTTGTGATTTGCTGCTATGGGAGCTGCCACAGTCCAGAACAGCTGCAGCATCACTGAAACACGTTTTCGTCTACCACACGATTTCATGCAGTTTATTCATTCTTGTCACAACTGTTTTATCTCAAATGTTACTAGCCTTCCTATATTTCTCTTTCGTATTTCTGTTCTCTTTTAAGTCTTTACTTTTCAGTTATTTAAAAGAGAAGCCATAAAATAAAACTAGTATAACACCAACCCAACCACCACTGCTTTTTCTAGGGTATAGGTCAGCGGCTGAATTTTCCAGTACTTCATGCAAAAACTTCAGAAAATTATTTAGAGGAACTATGCCAACATGCTATTTCTGCTCCCAAATTTTAATCACTACAGAATACCATACTGAAGTCCAAGCTGTTTAATACAATTTCATCTGTCCCTGCACCAGTTCATGTGAAGCAATACTCCTGTCCTCACAAAATCACGGCATGTTCTATACCAGCCAGCTCAGGGTTCAAGGTTAAAGATGTTTCACTCCCATAAACAGACAAAAATGTTTCATGACGGAGAGTAATTAAGTGGGGGTGGGTGTGTGTGTGTGGAATTGTTTCCCAGCATGTCATGCAGAGTGATGCCAGCCAGCCCCGACGGCTGTGCAGATGGGTCATGGGGACTTGGACCCAGGACAGAATGATGCCAGAATTTCTCAGAGGCTCTGCCTTCCCGAGGTGACCTCCAACTTGCAAAACGTTAACTACCACCTTCCACACATCACCTTTACCAGGAAAAGTACCCTGGGCACAGTCTCACTGAAGGAGAGGCAGTATCTCCAGCAGTTAAGCAGAAGGAATTCATTCTGGTACTGATGGCCAGAACCTTTTATTTAGCATCTCTGAAAGGGATCCAAGAGGTTATTTTGTTGGTAGTATCTCCTGCATTCTGCAGTTAATTTTCTATCATTTCTAAATAATAGAAAGCTAGTTAAAATGTGTAAAGCAAGAGAGTCACTATATGTAATCTCCTGACAGACAGGGATGCAAAAGGCTACATCCTTTGTAAACTGATAAGTTGGCTGTGCTTGAGAGGAAACCAGTGAATAAAATATGTACTCTGCTAAAACACCACAAAAATAAATGTGAAAAGTCTATTAAACGAGAAAGGTACAAATTGAGTTTAGAGGCTTCCCCCCGCCCCCCCCCCCCCCTTTAACTACATCAGCACAAAATAAGGTAGGTCTGCACTACTGCTTACCTTATATCTTTTTTTACATCCAGGAACGGGACAGGCAAAAGGTTTCTCATCCCCTCCATTCATGCACATTGAACTAAGGATAGCTTCAGAGCTGATAGCACTTTCTGTAGTCCAGGACTCATCACTGTCTGATTCTTCATAGTCTACTTCCTCCTCATCATATTCACTACCTAAAAAAGCAGGGTAGTGAGATAAAACAAGAATAAATAAGAGCACAGCAAGATCACACATTCTGCATTTATTATCTCAGTTACAATGACTTGTAATTTCCCCACGTTTGTCTTTGCTGGAAGAGGGTTATTTTTAATTTTATAAACCTCTCTTTCTTATAGTTATTTATTCCTTCATAAAGACACCAGTGGTTCTTTTTCTAATAACCAGGACAGATATTATTAATATATCTTCATAAACTTTTAACTGCGTGGCACAGAAAATTCAAAGGACTGATTTTGAAATGCCATTTCATTACTCCTCAAATGCCAGGATCCTTCTTTCTTTCCCAGTGCCTGAACAGAAAATGTGGTTTTTCCCCCCCTTGCAATTAAAGCTAATTTTAAGGCTTTTCTTTATGCAATACAATACTGAAGAGCGTAATTCTACAGATCATAAACAGTGTAAAATAATATGTTGACAAGTCCTAATGCATTTACTAGCCCTTTGGAATTAATAGGAATTATAGCACAACATTAATAAGAATTATATTGTAGCAATTATAGTTGTGAAATTCATTCCCTCAGGTGTGGGGATAAATTGCATTGTGTGGCTGCCCTGAACAGACCGCATTATGTTCCAGATATGCTACGACAGCCATTTGAGCAGCTGGTGCTGAGTTTATTTATTATTTTTAATTGCAATAACTATTAATGAAATTCTCTGAAGAAGTTAAATGTGAAACAAGAGAAATTAGGAAAGCAGAATTCCAACTATAAAAATA